CACACACACACACACACACACAAAGACACACACACACACACACAAAGACACACACACACACGCACGTGCTGGAGCTTGTCAACATTGAAATACAGTATGCAGAGTTTTGCGGACCTGGCAGAGCAGATTGTGCAGGCAGTTGACTTCTGTCTGCAGGTCTTGGGTCTGCACCATCAATTGGCTGCACACGGCCTGGGCCTCCCTCTTGTGGTCCAGTGTGAAGACCAGCTAGACCCGGACGCACGTTAGCACACAAAAGCAGCACAATTGCCCTAAAACTAAGCAAAGTTATGAAAGGCATATTCTTCCCAGCTTTATTTGTACAAACATGTTTGAAAGCGCAGTAAATAATCTTTCTGATATGAACTAATTGGAACTCTTTTACGCCATGTGGGGAAACTCAATATTTACATTTTAAGGGGAAGTCAAGTCCAAAAAAGTTCTTGACAACAATAGGTTTGTTCTATGTGCCCCGATTGGTAAACAAGGAACTCTTATTTATTTACTGTTTGTGAAATATTTTTGCCTGGTCTGTTGCTCTTGCTCTCTCCCAATTTGTGTTTAAATGTGTATAGTTTTACAAGTATATAGTTTTTTAAGGACCCTAAAAAATGTAAATGTGCCATAAATGCTTCACTAGGCCGCATTTAAATTGAACGTTTCTCACTCACGGATTTTCTTTTATTACAAGGGTGGCTGTAACGTAATCCCTGCAACCAAGAGTGGATTACTGTTTTGTGTCCTGGATCGCCATGTTCTCGTGAAACCGATTCAATGACTCAGGCGCGCCGAATGAAGCGGCCCAGCATGCAGTGTACCTTGGAGACCTGCAGGGGGAGACGGCGGACGGTGTCTTGAATGGTTTCCGTCAGCCCGAAGCATTGCCGCTTCACCTTGAGCAGGAAGGTAAGCAGCTCCTCACTCCTAAAGAACATTAAAAAAAAAAATAGATAAGCATAATCGTTAAGTTAAATTTTCCTTTGATGGATACAAATGAGTGTTGGGATCGAAAAATGTCGAGCACCTCAGCAAACAGGTGGCGGGGCCGTTCTCCCGCCCAGCGAACACGCTCCTCAGACGATAAGTGATTCGTATTCATCCAGCGACATAACTCGACAGAGCGGATTATTGATCGTTGTTATTTCAGCGCCACATCTGCCTCGGAGGAGGCGCACTCTGTCAGAGTGAGCAGTGTAAACAGTGTCAGGCGGCCGAGCCTCCCTTCTCGCTGCTCCTAGTTTGTCTAGCGCGGCGATGACAGCGCGCCCGCACAAAAATATCTGATGTTATGTTTCGGCTTTGTTGTTTTACGCTGGGGGGAAAAAAAATGTGTGAGCCTGCCTGTCAATCTTTCTTCTTCGTCTTTTTTTAAAAATGCTATCGCATCGAAATCGGACGGTCCCTGTTTTAGATGCTTTACAAGTCCGATTTCTCTTCCTTAATATTTCATTTTATGAAAAAAACTTTTTTTTTTTTAGTCTGTATCATCTGCATGCTTCCTCCAACACACCGGATTCAAGTGATCAAGACATCAGCAAGCTCCTCAGAAGCCTGATCACGAACCTGACTAAAAGTTTTTTTTTAAAAAACTACATAAAAGTGTTTTAGGTATTCTAAAATATTTTCAAAACTTTCAGGGTTTTTTTTTCATTTTTAAAAAGCATTTTCCTACATTTTACCCCCAATTGATGTATTTTTAAAAACGATTCCACATTTAATCAACTTTAGTTTTTTTCCCCTAATTTCAAACGTTATATTTTATTTTCACACATTCTCGTTTTAGTTTTGTGAACACCTTTAAGGATAATGAATGAAATCAATCAAGTTTTACAAATTGTTAGAAAACGTTTTTTAAGTTTGTTACATTCGTAGCAGCATTGTGCATTTTCAGACCTTTAAATAGATACTTCATCTTTGAAATTCCAATTTGAGACTTCAGATCCATGAACACCTTGTGAATTGTGTTGAGCCAGTCTTCATTTGTTTGCTTGTTGTCTTTCTTTGCTTTTCTGAGTATTCTGTCCGCATTGACTGCTCTTAAAATACAATTGGATGGCATGCAACAAAGGTGATCCTGACAAGCCTCCATCAATTGATGAAAAGTACTCCGGTTACTAAATTCACATTTCATATTAGACGCGCCGTCGTCGTTTGCCGTTATTTGCGTTCCCAAAGCTGTCAACGTGCTTTCGGCTCACTGAATACGAGTGCGTTTGCTCGGTTGCTAAGTGGCGGGGCGGCCTTGTCCTGGTCAAGCCTTGCGCCATCCTTCTGCCTCCTGACGTCTGCCCGCTGAGCCTTCACGGAGCGATGGGGTGCGCCGAGACGACTCTGCCGCGAGCCCTTGTCGCCTCTCGCCTTACAAATCATTACGGCTCCACTTAAACCATTACTGAAGGTTGAGATGAGCGCAGATGAGAATGAGAGATGCTCACAGGTGTGATGGACAACTTCCAGTGGGGGAGGAACGTCGCAGTCTCAAGGGCAGAAGACTGGCTCGATGCTAGAAATATAGTGTTCGCCCAGGATAGGGATGGAGCACTGCAGCCAAAAATTACATTTGGGGGGTAATTGACACCCCTCAAAAAAAGTTTCAAATTGCCTATCGGTAACTTAAAATGGTGGCAAAGTAGTATTTTGGATAGAGACGGGACAATGGCCTTTCAAAATGAATTCTGCCCCCTTCACTTCACCAAGCGCCACAAGAGTTTTTCAGTGAAAAATTGAGTTGTTTTTTTTTTTAACACGAGCAAATGAATGAATTTGCAAGTCGTGAATGAATTTGGCGTGAGGTGTTTGATGATGAAGGCATGATACAAACCCGCTGTCAGTCACTCCGAGTTGCTCCATTGTGTCCAAGTCCAACTTGTCCAAGTGCATCTGCTGCACAGCGCTCAGAACCTTCTGCTGGTCCGCTGCTTCGGTGATTCCAACCTTTGAGCAGAAATACAGGATCATATCATAAAATGAACCTTCTTTTATCTTATTTGCATCGCTTTAGGCATACGTGCACAAGCCTTTCACAAACCTATCAAAGCTCACTTTTCGTGAGCGCTCTCAGTTTCTCATAATTTGACCCTCTGGTTTACCAAAATAAGGTACCTCCCTTCACAGGCTCTACTAATTCCTTTTATAACATTTTTTTTTTTTTAATTGTTCTTAAATTTTATTAAAGCAGGTCGCGACGACACACGATTTATCTCCTTTCGTTGTAGCTAAATAAGGTAGTCAAAATAAAAATCATGGGTCATGCTTGTTTGATTTGTGGCTCTGTCCCTTTCGGTGTTGTAGACGCTTGTTATGCTTTTCATCGACGCAACGTTTTAAATTCCCCAAAAGGCGCTCAAACATCAGGTGAGGCTCACTGGCGTGGATCACAAGTCGTACGTGCGCATGCGCAGCATCACCCGCCCTCATCCTCATGTGCAGAGGCAGTGGTTGCAGTCACCCCGTACCTTCGCCAGGTCCTCCTCCTGCATAGTCAGCAGCTCGCCCCAGGTGATGTCTTTCTCCTGCAAAGGCACACGGGCATGACTTGAGCGGCCTGAGCAGATGCGCCCGCATGGGTAACGCCAGCATCTGTCAAACTGAGCCCGTTCCATCAACCGTGCTAGTAAGAAATATGTAAACTGCACAGCTCATTACATGAAAATGTCATAGCTCCTCACGTCTGCTACTGTAACATCTCACCTGTGGAGCGAAAAAAAAAAAAAAGACTGCGTGCGATCATTTATCAATAGGGTGACATCGGGGAGATGTGGGAAGGCCACGCGGGCGTGGATATTTTCACACAAGAATTTGGTTCAGGTATTTTAGAGGAAAATCTTTTTTTTTTTTTTGGATGGGGAGGGGTCTCATAAAAGCGAAACTTTTTTTGCCACCATCATACGTGTAGGAATGATATCAAACATGATACACAAATGATTTTAAACATGTGTGTAGTAAAGATTTGAACCCTTTCATGCACCCTGTAACCTGATAACATGATAAGCTGTCCGCTGTCGTCACCGCTATCCCTCAAAGGGTTCAACAATGTTCATGTAGATCTTATATCAAGCACGGTGCAAATGTGGAGCTGATGTTACACAGCGTATGTCGGAATGATTTTTTTAAAAATTTTACTGCACATGTGTAATAATTTCAAAGCATGTCCAAGTACCTTTTGTAATGATTTTGAAGTAGTTCACAGAGTAACCCCTTTAAAATAAACTTTCCGTGTTGGAACGATTTTAAACATATGCGTGTTAGAATTATTAAGAAGCACGTATATCTAAAAAAAAAAAAAAAAATCGCTCAAACACTATTTTTGGGAGTATGTAAATGATTGATTATAAACCCAATGTGTAAAAAAGGAATGATTTTTTTTTTTTTTAACCCCAATGCTAGGAAGGAAAAGGACAAATAACATCGCCTTGACATACATGCATGACGTCAATGTGGTAGTCCAGATCCAAGCCGCGAAGCAGGAGCTCCAGGTCATCCAGCTTGGGTACACTTGGGGGGGGGACACTGTGATTTGTATGGATTGTTTTCATTTTGAACAGGCTAAAACATTGATCCCTGCAGTTGTTCAAAGAATTCAGCAGAGGGCAACAGACGCAAAGTTTTACAAGTTTTACCTCAGAGGTAACGTTCAAGACGGCACCGGCATTTCTTCACCTTTTCCATCTATCTTGTCTATTTTCATGTCAAGGTTGTGTTCCACATCTTTTACCTTTCTGCAAAAGATGCGGGCTGAGGGTTGGCCTTGACGATCGTGGGAAGGGTTTCCTCCGTGGAGTTGAAAGGGAGCACAGGATCACTGTTCAATGTGGAGGACAGGATTCTGGAGATCTGCACGGTATTCGGGAAAAAGAACCCACAACATGGGCACGTACAGACAGCTGGGTTTTTAAATGTACCCACTTTACAGCGATATGCAAAGTATTGACTGAATAGATGCATATATAGATATAGAACAGCGCTGACATATTTGAAAGCGCATTTATGTTGAATCTTCTGTTGCATATATGCAATTATGAATTTTTTTTTCCCCTCCATTTTCGATGCGTTTTTATAGTCCTTTCACGCACTTGCGTGTGTGAAAGGAGAGCGGATGCTCTTTTCGGCCATTTATTGAATGCCGGCCGATAAGTCAACTATATCAACAGAACAGAAGGTAGTGACGAAAGCTACCTAGTGTGGGTATTAGTCATATCCGCTTTATGGACAGTCAAAGTTGAAGGTACCTGTGCGTGCTTTAGAAGCAGAGCCAGCTGGGCGGGGCTCTTTCCCGCCTTGGTGGCGATGCTGCTGTCGGCTCCCAGCTGGAGGAGCTTCAGCACGGCCTTCTCTCGGCCGTGGTGAACGGCCACCGACAGGGCCTGAAATAATGCCCCTCGGTTATTCATGCACGCACGCGCGTAGAGGTGTCGCCGCGGCAACGTCACATACGGTGTATCCGTTGGCGTCCTGCATATCGAGGTTGGCTCCGTGGGACGCCAGCAGGTTCAGGACTGTGCAGTAATTGGCTCTGGCGGCCAACATTAGGCATGTCACTTGAGACCTTCAAAAAAAAAAAAAAGAGAGAGAGAGAAAAATTAAGAGACTGGGGTTTGATGGTCCCATATGACATTTTTTTAACTTGCAACACCTTCACAATCCCAAACAAAGTCGGCGCACTACCTCTCCCCCACCAACACACCCTTCAAAAATAAGACGTTTTGATCGCAACGTGGCAAGTGGCCGCCATCTGTGGAATTTTGTTCAAAACATGAAATGAAAACTTCAAAGCCCGCTAAAATCCTCCAGAACAAATTCTAGAAGAAAAAAACCCAGCCGATGACCAAAGTACATGACCACTTCTGCTGCTCTTCTCATGAATAATATTTAGATAATATTCTATTTAAATAGAGTTTGTAGCGTGATTGACGCTCGGGAAAAATCTCTAACTTCGATGCATCAACATGGAGAACCCCTCGGCATTTCGGCCTCTCAGGTTGCGGAGGAAACAAAAGGGTTCGGACATATGTGAAGAAATAATGACATGATATTGTTTTACTCTTATTTGACTGCGTTTTTGGACCGATTTTCTATTGGCGGCATCACACAGTGGGGAATTTTCCTGACACATAATACCTCATTTCTCCAGAACCCAATCATCAGAGTTTCTAAATTCTTGTTTCGTTGTACTCACGACAATCAGACTATTTGACTTACTGTCATTTTCGGGAACCGCTGTCATGTTGCTAATTTAATGGCACGTCATCAAAATGGGTCATCTGGATCCGTTCACAAACAATGACGAAAACTCACTTGTTTTATAAATCTTTACTTTTGTTATCCTGCCAAGTCAGGCTGACAATGTCAGTCATCGCAAACCTTTTTTTGGCACATCGAGAGGCCCCTGGGGGACAATGAGGATCAAGTCAAGACAATTCCCCATTCAATAACTGCGATTGCCCTTGGCGCGGGCGGAGAGAAACACTGTACATCAATCACTTTTTTTTTTTTTTTTATCTGTCGCACGTCCGAGGCGAGCTTACTGTTGACTTGCGGCGGTGATTTAGTGAGCGGTCTGGGAAAGAATCGGCGCTGGTCAAACAGCGTGACGGCAAACAGTCATATTAATCACTGCCAAGTGGACAAAAGTTAATGTTTTATGTCAATCCACGCGCATTCCACGCCACTTCACCACGGTGCACTTCCTCTTTGAGTAGTGGGAACGGGACGGGTGGCATCGTTCATTTCTACTGTCGGCGTGACAGCCCTGGCAAGGTCTTTCTCATACCGCTTCTGTGTGAGCGTTCCAATCACCGGGACCGTACGTCACTCTTATCTGTGCAGCTGTCCAACCATAAAAAAAGGTCAGATGAGATTTAAGGTCTAAATCGCGATTAGCAGAGTAGACGTCACCATTTCAATCGGCAAGCTGAACCCTCATGTTCTGTCACAGGTCAGATTGACCCGTGTTTTAAAAGGCGTGTGTGTTTTAAAACCAGCAATATCCTAATTCAGAGCAAAATAGCAGTCTCGCACCCATTGGGGCCGCCGTGCATGTTCACATGTGCGTAGCAGCTCAAAGCCACTTCCGCTCGACAGTTGAGTAAATGTGAGCGCATGTGAACAATTGGGAGTCCACATCGTGTTTGTTGAGAGTGTGTTTGTTTACACTGAAGGGGAGGCAAAGGCAGCTGGTGCTCATTTTTGGTTTGACGCTCCGACGTAAGCGAGGGGGGGGGGGCCGTTTGATGGCATCCACCACATCAACGTACGCTCTTCTTTGCGCCGTGGGGGGGGGGGTTTGTCGGCACTCAAATATTTGCTTTCAGACGGAACTGATCACTTCGCTGGCACTGGTAGAGCAACAGTGTTGTTAGCCTGTAAGCTAAACAGGAGATGCGTCGTCACTTTGACACGAGTTACACGGACACTGTTTGATTTGCGCACGGCGTAATCTTAAATATCCAACTCATTTAACAGAAAAACAAGGTTTTTTTTTTTTTCATATTGGCGTGAGATGACTGCACACGGCGTCTGATAATCCCCATCTGCTTCCGACGGACAACTACACAGCTGTTGGACTTGAGCTCGCATGTATAAAACCACCACACAAACACAGACGTTAACACTCTGCAGACAACCAGCAGGAGGAATTCAACTTCCTTGTAGACGTCCGACTCACCTGTCCGCCATGTTGGGATCGGCATTCCTGGATAGCAGAAGCTCCACACAGCGAGCGATTTTGTCCTCCTTTGCCGACGCAGTGCAGCAGGCCATCAGCACCGTCCAGCCATCTACAAAAAGAAAAATCGCATTTGCTCACATCCAAATTAACGACGATGAATAGGGGCTTCCTACCTTGATAATCGTTGACACCTGACGCCTTGATGGTCGTCCCCTTTTAGCCTATCCGTCTAATATACATGCTTCAAATTTGATAGCGATCGGATAAAGTCACTTGGGAAGTTGGGAGAATTCTCATTTTTGAAGAACCCCTAAAAGAAGCCCAAAGTGACCATAAAATGGCCGCTTCAAAACAAAATCGCATACTTCCGATATTATTTCAGATTGAATTTCACTAGATTAGCATCTTTTTACACTAAACGACGCCTGGAGTTGTTCATACGTTGATAAGAGCGAGCCGAGGGCCCCAGCACTGAGGTCAATTCCAATTTTGGCCTGGCAATGTGGTTGTGTGTGTATTTGTGTTTGGGCTTCTCCATCTGCATGTGTGTTACTGTGTCTTTGTTGTTTATATATTCTTTGCGTGGGCGCACACCAGACGAGCCCAGCTTGTGTGTGCATAAATAAATGCTGATCCAGAGATTTTGCTGAGCGGGAATGGCAGCAGTGTGGCGACCGGGATATGTCGTTCATGCGTTCATTCGTGGACTTCCTTGGGGGGGGGGAGCTCACTGGAGCATTTAATTGTTTACTTCACCTTCCCCCCAACGCCAACGTCGTGATATTCTCCTGGACTCAATTGAACTTTTGATGGAATTCCAGTACAAGCTCGAGAATGTAACTGGGTCCCATGATAGTAGCATGGTTAGCATTTTGGCTAACAGAAGCATAGCGTAGTTTTATTGGAGCTTCTTACCTTGGAACACACAAAAAAGGTGTGTCAGGTTATTTTTGAAAGTTTGGTTTGGGAAATGAAGGAATAAAAGGACTCTTTGGACAAAAGTGTAGCTCAATCCATTTTGTTTTGTTTTGGAAATGGTACAGCAAAAGGGGCCTTCCATAGTTTGAAACATTTCCATCTGACCCCACCCCGCATCAATATGCTTTCACAGCACTATTGCTTTTATTTTGAAATCTACCACTGAGCTGCTCCCTGATTTTGCTCTCATTCCCTCTGACTTGAATGGACCAACTTTTTATGACCAAAGGACTTTTGATTTCGATGTCGAGTGATCGGCGTGTTGAATCTGCTTGTGATGTTTGACGTGAAGGAGCACTGAGTAAAGATATAGGCCTTCCCGACATGGAAGAGTTGTTCCGGCGTGCTTTTTTTTTTTTTTCAGCAGACAGACCTTGACACATCATACGCATTGGATGATGAGGTGGTGCCTGAACGAAAAACAACTCGCAAGGATCAGAGGTGTGGTGTTTCTGCAACATTTCCTCTTTGGCGTCATCGCTGTTAAGTAATGTCAGATGAACGATGTTGATGTTGCGGCTGGACTGCGCTGCTGTGTTGTTCTTGTCGTAAACTGAAAGAAGGCATCTCATCTTGTGCACAAGTAGAGGTCAGAAAATAAATGAAAGCAACATTTGACTACTATGAATGAGGAGTTGGCGAGAATTTTGAAATTAAAAAATGGGACAATCTAGTACGTTGGCATTGTTTTTGAAAAGCCCAAGGTTATTTTTCTTTTCAAAACAATACCACTTTAGTCCAGAAAGATAACTTTTATTCTCCTAAATTCTATTTTTTTTCCTCACAAGACTTTTTTTTCTCCAAAAGTACAGCTGTTTTCACTAGATTACTACTTTGTTCTGAAAGAAAATCATCATTACTCACTACTTTGGTATGATTACAAAATTGCTAATTATTGTCAATAAATATGTCCTTGTGCCACTTTATGAGCAGTTAAAATCTAACTGTACATGTACTGTAAAGACACACTGCTTGCTTTGTGTCTTAGTGGAAGTGAAAAGATTCTACATGATCCAGAAGTAATTGTTCACATGGGGTACCTTTTTTGAAGTTGGCATTGGCTCCTCGGTCCAGAAGCACTTTGGCAACATCGTGGTCCGCCAGACTGACAGCACACATCAGTGGGGTGTGGTCAAAGGTCAGGCTGCTGTCCACATTCATCCCTGTGCATAACATCAATACATTTACTCCTCCTACTTACTGTACTGTACACAAACACATTTAATTGGTGTTTTGGGAATGAAAAGGTTCTTACCATCGTCCAGCAGCTGTTCAATGGCAGCAACGTTGCCTTCTCTGATGGCTGTTTTTAGCAAATAGACTTTACCGCCAGTGTCAGCCACGGCGTTATCGGCTTTCTGTCACAATAACAGTTTCACCAGTTATATACAGCACACAGGAAATTTAAATGTCAGCCTGTCATTTTGGGCTTCCATCCTACCTGTCTTTTAATCACGTCCCGGTGTCACTCCACAGTCCCGGGGACAGTGAACGGCAAAATGTCAATAAGCGCTTAACTAATTTCAACTGTCTCAAACTGTCTACCAGCAGAGGTTGGGTGGTGTACTGAGTATAAAACGTTGCAGACTAGGCATGTTTAAAATCGATTTTTTTTTTTTTTTTTTTTTTTTACAAATCAGCTTTCTAGCAGGTAAAATGATCCAAACCACAGCTTTCAATTAATTTATTGTTTTAGTTTGCCATGTCTTACATGGGAATTTGTGCATTCCTGTTTTCTATTTTTGTCTGAAATTCAAGCTGATTAAAATAAACAATATTAAAAAGTGACGCAATGAATACATTTACACAATACTTGTGAACATATTTTTTTCACCGAATACTTTGACTCAAGTAATTATTTGGAGACTCGAGTCATTTTCTAAACTGAGGCAACAGTACTTTTACTTGAGTACAATTATTGGATACTCTATCCACCTCAGACGACAGCTATAATATAGTTCATGATATTCTCATAGTTTCATTCATTCAGCTGTTAGACACTCCGCGAAGCCCTTGATTTTGTGATGGATAACGTGTAAGCATTTCACTCAGTTAATTTTCTCCAACACCGAACGAGCAACGCCAGCTGTCGAGCTGCGCTAGCCAGGCAGCAACAAGTTCTTTGTATTGCTAATGGCGGCAAACCTGCTACTTCCGGTAGCTACGATCAGCGAGACTTGCATTTCTCCTGTTCGCAAATCGAACTTACCTGAATATCGAAACACTTTTTATCAGGGGGGCGATCCATGAACCATTCGCCGCTGCTGGTGTCGCTCTCGTATCCAGCTGCGAAGGAGAGATCTTTCAAGTCGTCCATGTCGACTCTCTGCAATGGTGACCAAGCCGTAAGTTAGAATGGCAATTAACAGGCTAGGTGGCGCCAACAACGTACAGGTACAACTTCGACTCCTTTTAACACATTTTTTTATTTATTTACGTTTTCCTTGTATATTACTATTTACAACGTTAATATACATTTCTTGGCAGTGGGATTTACTTCATTGAGTGTTTCTTACTGATAATCAAAAGTTCTTACACTCTTTAAATAGAAATACAGACCCCCTCTAAAAGACTGATAAGTAGTACAAACCTACTTAGGTAAAACGAAACATGTACTGACTATTCGCACAAAAGTAAATATTGACCCAATGGGAAAAATGCACAGAAAGTAGCCATACAAATATTAAAAAGTACAGTTTCCATTATTTGTCCCTTTTTGAGAGGCATTCACACGCAATGAGAACTGAACAATACACTCACTCTCGTACAGTACAATCCTGTGTGAGCACAAAATTTCCACCAGAGGTCACTGTTTCCTCCACTACGAACTTCAAAGCAAAGGACAAACCCCGCCGGTAGCATGCCATTCAAACCAAATTTCTTCCAACTTGCTGTTTGTAGCCATTGTTAGTTTTGATTTTCTACGGCCACAAATCCGTGTCACAAATAGACAGAGATGCATGTCAGCGCGAGTTCCCTACTGCTTTGCAAAAGAATTGGACCAAAGCAACCTAAACACACCTAAAGCACTGATAAGACGACTTCACCGCACCGTCCCCACTTTATCGGTGTTCCCCTGTGGAATGTTTTTTTATCCTCCCTCACCTGAAACTGTGCGTGATATGAAACTGAGTTTTTTTTTAAGAAGTTCCCAAAGATTACTGCACATCGTGGAACTGTTTCTAGAATGATAGGAGGAGTGGGGTGTGGTGAAATGGATAGACCGCACATGTGGAGCACTTTTTCGAGGCTGAAAGCAGTGGATTAAAAAAAAAAAAAAAAGGTTATTCATATACACGATTTAAAATAAAAAGTTATGCTTTAATAATTAGTTCCTGGGTCAAACTGTAACACTCCTTTATGTTTTACAACCACCGCATGAATTAACATTGGTATAGTTTTGATGCAGTTTTCTCTCTTTCAACTAGTTCAAATCAATTGATCGAAAAAGTCCAAAATTTGTCATTGGATGTATTTACTTTTTTTCCACAGAATTTATTAATTTACTTTCATATTTTAGTTACATTGGTAAAATATAGCATTTTGGTTGTTTTAGCCTTGTTTTGTGTATTTTTATTTTTGTATTTACTGGGAGTTCCAAATAGACAAATTAATTACACTAACAGTTCAAATACATTTACTTTTGAATGCAGTTTTTTTTAATCGCTAATAGTGTGTGTGTGTGTGTGTGTGTGTGTGTGTGTGTGTGTGTGTGTGTGCGTGCGTGCGTGCGTGCGTGCGTGCGTGCGTGCGTGCGTGCGTGGTAGTGTGTTGTCCGTGGTTGGCTCTTGAAGATGACGCGAGCGTGTGCGCCTTGCGCGCGCACATAAAAGATGACCCGAGCTTCCATGCGCGCTCACAAGCCTCCAGACAGCCAATTGGTCACCCCGTGGAGGCTGCACTCTCATCGGACTCTTTGCGGTGGGTCGTCACGTCGAGCCGCTACACTTTTTCTTGGTGATCCTGGACGCTGGAAACTGGTTTTCGGGGTTGGGGGCGAGGGTGGGGGTGTCAGGTATTTGGTCTGCGCGTGCGCGTGGCGGACGCCGAAAAGTGGGGGTTCACAAATGAAAGTCGGGGGCGCGCTCGCCTCGCTCTCAGGTGCACACGACGCAGCTGAGGATGCAGAAGTCACCCGTGGAAGATGCCAATTTCCTCTCCAGGTTCTTCTTCTGGTACGTTCCACGATTCGCGTGCGTGCGCGTTGACTCGCTCCTGTCACGTTGTTAATGCTGGATTACAGAGTTGGTCCATGTACTCAAATACTCCACTTGTGTAAAAGTACAGATACTTGTGTTCTGCTAACAGTAGAATTACTGGTTAAACGCCTGTACTTATGAAGTAAAAGTTAAAAATGGCAGACTTTGAAATGTAGTTACAGGTAAGTAGGCCCCAAAAGTGGAAATAAATGTTTACTGTCAGTTCTATACAAACATTTTGATTTTGATAACTGAAACTTTTCCCGACACACAAAATAGTTTCCCTTATTCATTAGCTTGTTTCGTTATACTAAGAATGTAAAAAAAAATAAATGAAAAGGGTGGTTTAACTTTTATGCTCCCGAAACAACTTTTTTTTTTCCGCACACCTAAACCGACCAACAAAAAAGCGAATGCCACCAACTGAAAAAATACACCTGCATGTGTTTTGTTTTATTTTTCTGGTTACACACACTTTTCTTGAATGCCACAAGTCGGTAGTTTTTCAAACAAGCCGTTTTTCGCCACGTATCATTCTTGGTATCCACAAGAGCAAACAGGCTTAAATATGGTTGTGAATGGGGAATATCTTGCTTCTCCTAGTCATTGTTTATGCTCTCTGTTTCATGGTCCTCCATATCATCTGTCCATGTTTTTTAATGCCTTATACAATCCCAAGAGCTCACTTCATCAATCAATCAACCGTGGTTGAGTTCAACCTATTTGTCTTTTTTATGTCAAAAGTAAACAGCTGTATTTTGACAAAGTATAAACAATACCCTTTTTTTTTCAAATGTATGGAAACCTAAAAAAATCTGTAAGTACAAGAACAAAGAATTTGTACCCGCTTACTTCCCACCTCTGTATTTTTTGATTGGAAAAAAAATATATTTTTTTTAGGCTGGAGAACATTTTGTAACATTTGTTGTCAACAGACAGGAGATGTTTCCAAACATATTCGATGTTTCAATTGGACCGCTGGGCCAGGTTATTCTTAGATTAGGTTAAAAAATAAATAAAATGTCTATGTCGAATAGATACATTCATTCTCATTAGAATAGTATACTAATCGTTTCGATGTAATTACTCAAAATTCACAATTTTGAATGAGCTACAAGTAAATTAATACAATAATTAAATAACATCCTATTTGAATTTTAAAAAAATCCTTATTTTTAATTGTAGCATTCAGAAAAATATTTGTTATAAATGAGCAATTATTAAAAAAAAAATAGATTCACAATAAAAATGTATGAGTAAAATTAGTTTAAAAAATATGCTCCATGTAAAATGTATTTTTATTTAATTATTAGCTTTGCTAATCTTTTTCCATTTTATTATTTACAATAAATCTATTAATCCTAAAGCTTCTTCTCTTCACCGTCCTGTTACGTTTGTTTCATGGGTCAATGTGACCCCCTGCTTGCTCAACAAGCACAAATTATACTGTTGGGACATTCATAAAATAGAAAGCAGTAAGGCCAACACAATAAGTTTGATCCCCAAAGTTTTGTACAGAAGTAAAATGTATATTTTTATGGGTCAATTTGACCCATTGCATGTTAAATCCAAAGTTGAGAGGCCATCGAGGTCGAGTGCAATGTGAGGTGGGCGGCGGCCAGAGACGGGGACCATGGGACTTAGACTACGGTCTTCAACTGGAAAACTGGAGTGTGCACTGCAGGTCAAAGATGAGATCCTTTCCCTCAGAGAACGGGCGACATACTCGCTCATCAGAGTCGAGCCGCTGCTCCTCTGCGTTGAGAGGAGTCAAATGAGGTGGCTGAGGCATTTCATCAGGATGCCTCCTCGATGCCACCCTGGCACACTCGCAGGTCCTTTGACTTTTGTCATTATCTGATGTCGTGACATTCCCTGATGTGGCTTTTTTTTTTTGTGTGTGTTGACTCAGGTGGACGTCTCCGCTGCTCAGGAAGGGCTTCAAGAAGAAGTTGGACCTCACTGACGTTTATAAAGCCCCTTCATACGATCTCGCTGGGAACCTCTCCGAGCGGCTCGAAAGGTATAAGGACACCCGAACGGCCTTTTTGACAATTTCCATCCACATTTGTGCCCCTCATTTTAACTCAAAAACAAAGCCTTTTTTGAATCATTTTTCGCCCCTGTGAACTTAAAGCCCAAAGTATCTTTTTGAGTTTTGATTTTTGTTCCCACGTTGCGTCCTTTTCTCCGTCTTTTACAGTGGCAGGACGTCTTGCCTGCTTCCCTCGGCGGTCACTTCAAATACGGGTTGGCATTTGAATGTGCCCGGATATAAGCTGAAGCTGTGTGTGCCAAACAAACACACTTTTTTTTTTGGTCTTTTTTATGTCCAATATACTTTGCTTTCTAATGCTCTAATTCAAGTGGCTATGCTAGGCGTCATTTTCAGAGATCCTTCAAAAACAAACTGGTAGTCGGTTCAAGAGTACCACTTAGGATATTTGGAAAAATTGAACCAGCCACTTTCAATTAGTATGATAAGATTCCACTAGAAAGGTCAATTATCAGTAGACCCACGAAAAAAAGTCTCAAGAATCCCAACTCGAAAAGACACAGGAAGTCTAACATTTTAGTTTGAAGTCCTCATTTTGTGGTTCCTTATTTGGGGGGGGGCCTAAATGCACAACCCAATGCGTGAGGGAAAAAATTAAACACTCCTCATCCCTATCCCTGATGTGAAAATGCAAAACATGAAAAAGTTCACGTGCCAATGAAAGCCAAACTCGCAGGTCAGCTCCTCAAGGTCAAATCATGACTGAATCAAAAACATTTGGATGAGTTTTAACATTGCGGAGAAGGGCGCTTGCATAAAAAGGACCACAGTGTGTCCTTGACTCCCTGACACATCAAGCGGCCTCGTGCCAACAAGTGCTAAAGAGTCGACCTTTTAAAAAAAAAAAAAAGTGCAACCGCTGAGTGATTGGCTTCATTATTTTGAGCCAGGAACGCAGTAAAAAGACTTCTGGGAACGTGAACTTTATCTTCTATTAAAAGCTGCACATCACTCGGTCAGGTCGAGAAAAACACTTGATGAAAGAGCTGCAAGGCAGGGACAAATCGTAAGTCGGACAGGAAATGAAAAGGCAAGAAAATGTGGAGTTGGTTTGGAGCGATGCCTGCCTGCTCTTCTGCAATGACTGAAAACACAAAATACATAAAAATGTGTCTTTGTCCTTTTTTTTTTTTATTGCCTAACGTAGTCTTTTTGTTTGCAAGGCAGGTGCTTTAATAGATAAATGTGTCAACATTGGTGTTCGATAAGTTGGCAAAAATCATTTTAATGATTAATGTGGCACAAAGATGTATACATATTTAATGTGTACATACAATCTAGCATTTCCCCAGCCTGATATAGCCTTTTTTTTTTTTTAAGAGAGAGCAAATATTGTGTTTTCATGGCAGAATAACGGACACATGTTTGACACTACCACTTTTCTGGCCAAGTAGATCATTTTGAGACAATATATAGCATTCTCGGGTTAGCAAGTCTAGCATTTATGTAGTCAACCGTGTGCGCAAACCATATGCTTCTTTCGCTAAATGTACAATTTTGTGGCAACGATAGTATTGTTGGAAGACGTTTATATGCCGAGTTTATCCTTGAGCTTCTCACTGAGGTGAAGTCTCGCCAGACTTCGACTCAAAGAGGTCGGTTTGGGACATCTCGCTCCAACTCCTCATTGTTGCACTTTTGTAGCGCTCCACTGTAGTCGTCCTTCTTCCTGGCAGTATAAATCCATCCGAACCCTTTTGTGCTCCTCCTTTTAATCGCTCTTGTTGTCCACGCTGACGTCCTTCAGTCGTCTTTTCACGCTGTCACTCAGCATGTCAGTCTGTTGCGAAATGAGCTCCGCAGAACAAAGATGCTTCTTGGACTTTTTTTTTTTTTTTTTTTTCCGGGCTCTGTCTGCTTGTGGGAAGCTAATACAAGTGTGATGTCACAAGGATAACACAGCCAGCGCTAATGAAGGCAGGGATTTTTGTCACGTTTGAGCAAAGTTCCAAGGGTCAAAAACCAAGTGTGTTCTTTTGTCGTCTGACATTTTCTGACGCCAAAAATATTTGGGTAAAGTTCCTCGTCTGATTGAATCATGTTCTGTAAATAATTGTCAACTGGGGTCGTGATAATGTGTGATCACATGTGTTGTTGTTTTGGCCCATGCAGAGAATGGGACAGAGAGGTGGTCTCGGCCAAGAAAAAGCCCAGTCTGATGCGAGCATTGGCACGATGCTTCCTCTGCCCCTTTGCCTTTTTTGGGGTCCTCCTCTACCTCGGGGTAAGCCCTCATTTTCTCATCCGCTTATACTCGCGAGGATCCCGGGCGTGCTGGAGCCTGTCCCAGCTGTTTTCGGGCAGTAGGCGGGGGACACCCTGAACCGGTTGCCAGCCAATCGCAGGGCACACAGAGACGAACAACCATCCGCGGTCACACTCACACCTCGGGACAATTTAGAGCGTTCAATCAGCCCTGCCATGCATGTGTTTGGAATGTGGGAGGAAACCGGAGTACCCGGAGAAAACCCACGCAGGCCCGGGGGAGAACATGCAAACTCCAAATAGGAACGCCAGTGCTGGAATCAAACCCTGCCCCTCTGCACTGTGAGGCTGACCTGCTAACCAGTCGTCCGCCGCGCAACAAGGTTTCATTTTTCAATAACAATCCCCCCACCGAGTTTCCCCGCGCCTGACTTGGAAGCTTGGCTGCGTCAATTTCAGACGACTCGGTAACGTAATCATGTCAAAGTCAAATGCTAAGCAGAGCTGCGGTGTTACCAAATAGTGACACATACTTGAATGTTCTGCGAAGGTGTCAAGGCGTGGTTTAGGGCAGTATTTGCGTTTGCCTCTGGTGTATACTGTATGCGCCACATGCACTGATCTGCTACACTAATTGACAAACCACTTTACCAATTGAACGAGTGAAAAGCAATAAAAATGATACATTGAGTTAGCTTGACTTCACACTCCGGGCGAGTTGTTGCCTCCCACCTCAATGGAAACCCTCAGCTCATCGCCAGTCGTCATGGTAACCGTATTCAGCATTCGCCTTGCAGTCGAGGGGGACAGGGATAGCAGAGTGGCCCCTCAAAACATGTTTAAATCTTTATCCTTTGTGTCTTTGACCAAAGAATGTCACAGACACCTGGGGACTCTCAAAAATTGTAGGGGGAAAAAAAGTACACCCGCAATTTGCCTTCTTTAAAGCAGTTATCGGACCACATGTCCCTTAGAGATACACATTGTATTATATCCTTTTTTTTTCTTTAAAATTGGAAACCACTTACAGGTGGCTGTGACATTCTTCGCTCAAACTACACCAGGGCTCAAGATTTATCGCCAACTTTTCAACCTATTTTGCTTTTTTTTTTTATCCTGACGGAAGTCCGCCTATTTTGAGATACTGCTGGGCCAATGACAAGTACGGTTTTCATTCCCATGACAACCGGGCTTGGAGCTCAGGGGGGGTATAACAAGGCGCATACGGCTTCCATTTGGCATAGCAGAAGCCACAGTGTAGGGAAAAATAACATGCGCCCGTAAAGGCAATAAAAGCGTATAAACTTGACCACAATAGCATTTCATCTCACAGAGGCAGCACTTCATCAACAAGCTGCAGAATTGCACTTTGTCAATTAGCATGCAAGCGCTCGGAGACGAAATTTATGGTTGGGGAAACAATGGCCTAAAATTGAACAAAGTAAAGTAAAAACTTTCTCATTTGGCATCAACGCCCAATAAATGATCGTTTTAGGGTTTCTGAATAATAGTAGAAGTTGAAATAAAACCTTTGACACCTTCAGCCTGGCCCGCACACGTGCGTACACGTCACGGCCAACACGACACAAGAAAAATGTCAAGCATGTGGCGACGTCGTGTCGAGAAGGATTTGGTGATGAATGGCGCTTGAATCCATTTGTTCTCCTCTGAACGTCTTCTCCCCCCTTCATAGGAGGCCTCAAAGACTGTGCAGCCTCAGCTCCTGGGCCGCATCATCGCCTCCTTCGACCCCTTCCACGCGCCGGAGCGCAGCCAGGGCTACTTCCTGGCGCTTGGCCTCTGCCTGCTCTTCACTGCACGTTTCCTGCTTCTGCAGCCGGCCATCTTTGGCCTGCATCACCTGGGCATGCAGATTCGCATCGCCCTCTTCAGCCTCATCTACAAGAAGGTGAGGCCGGCGTGCTTGGTCGGAGGTCCTTTGACAAGGGTGTCTCCTAATTTGAACCTTTTTGTCGCGTTTTATTTTGTGCAGACACTGAAGTTGTCTAGTCGGGTCTTGGATAAAATTAGCACAAGTCAGCTTGTGAGTCTGATGTCGGCCCACCTCAACAAGTTGGACGAGGTGAGCACACCGCTGTGAAGACACAAAGCATCAATGCACACTTAATGACTTTTAATGGGAATATGATATGCTACACATCCCAAAAGTTGTGGAGGGGAGATTTTGTTGTTGTTTTTTTTTTTGGGGCGCATGGTGGACCAAACCAGTATTGAAGGAGTTCAGTTTGTTAGGCTTCGCAAAAAAGTTACGAAGGAGGGTTCGGGTGGGCGACTCTTGGCATGGGTCCGTCAGTGCGCTGCAGACGTTTGATAATAAACAAGCACAATGGCACAGCTATTGTGCGTCAAAGATGTCAAAGCCCACATCTGCCGATGATGCGACAACATAGCTGCAGGGTTGAAGGCAGAGATGTCTCGGCCACACGTTGAATGTGGAAGCACCCTGATACTCGCTGCCATACAATTAGCACCTGCCTACAATGTGGCATTTTGAGGGATTTTGTGTGTGTGGGGTGGGGTGGGGGTTACAAACCTGGTCATGCTCCTATGGGAAAGACCAGGGTTATTTTTAATTTTTCACACCAATGCTGCACTTGGGACTTCGAGGAAGGTTCGGGTTCATGAATTTCTTTGTATGTTTGCTTGTTTGACTCTTACACAGTCGACTGTACAGATACTGAAAATGATACTGGTACTGATACTGACAATAATGACTGAAACACCAAATGCCAAAGTATTCATTTTTTTCAGAACATTTGTCATTGATTTATGTTTTGACCCTGCATAGACTTTTTTTTTTCATATTTATGATTTTTTTTTTTTTTATGATGTGGGTTCTCATCAAATATCTACCTTGACAGAATATCAAATCATCACGAATGCATTTCAGCTTCAAAACTCCGCAAAGTGAAATTGCCAATTTGTTTCTCAATATATGATACATATTTGAGGATAATTCCTGAAAAACGTGTCGTGTGCATTACATAGTACTGAATTGTGGATATAGCATTCAGTCAGCTGTTTTGCATCACTTGAGTTCATCAACCATTTTTGCCATTGAATAGAAGATGATTTTTAAAGAATGAATTCATTTCATAAATGACATCATTGGTGATGTGTGTGTGTGTGTGTTTGTGTGTGTGTGTGTGTGTGTGTGTGTGTGTGTGTGTGTGTGTGTGTGTGTGTTTGTAGAGCCTTGGCCTGGCGCACTTTGTGTGGATCACGCCCCTGCAGTGCATCCTGTGCGTGGGTTTGATCTGGGAACTGATCGAGGTGAACGGCTTCTGCGCTCTGGCAGCTCTCACGCTGCTCGGCATCGTCCAGGCCTGCCTCGCGCAGAAGATGGGACCTCACCGGTGGGACAAAACAACACCGCAGGATCACATTGCACAAGTCGTCTTTGTATTGGTTCCTGTTTTTATGGCCCTCCCGGTGAAGATAGGATGTCCACTTAGGACATCCTATCTTGTCCATCTCTCTTTTACTTGTTCTGAAATGGAAAACGTTTATTTATTTTTTTTTTTTATTGAGCGTTTGTTATGCATTCCACTTGTTTTAACGGCATGTTTAGTCCGAGTTTGGCGAGCCTACCATGCGCCAGGAGGCCATCGCGGACTGTACATATTTTCTCCCGCTGACTGACACTCAAAAATCGGCCTGTTGTTCGATTTGAATTGGATGATCGAGTGGGTGCCGTTGGAACGTCCGGCTGCACACAAAGCAACACTCTGCCTTCCACCGTGGCAGTTTTGGTTGAGCAGACAGCTCGTGTGACGCCTTTTTTTTTTCCAGTATAAAGAAATGCTACACGCACAATAAATATCATGAACACTTCCTTTGAACTATTGGACCGTATTGCCGTTTTGCGATCCTGCCTGTCACGATTCCTGTTTATGTGTGTGCGCTCGATTTGTTTGAAAGGGTGAAGCGAGCGGGGATGACCAACCGTCGTCTGGCGCTCACTTCGGAGATCGTGGAGACCATCCACTCAGTGAAGGCGTACGGCTGGGAGGAGGTGATGGAGACCATCATCAAGAATATCCGACAGTAAGCAAGCAAACCACAGATGCATAAAGATTTCATTTGTTCCAAGTTACTCCTCACACACCTGACAGCATTAATAGGTGGAGTTTACTTTTCTATTTTTTGCATGTGCCGTCATATTTTCATTTGGTTATGGCAAGTTTTATATTATACTACACCTTCTATACTAAAAATCGTATTGTATTTAATTTTGTTTTATTTTATTTCAAATGTAAAACAAAAAACACAAAGCATGAAAAAAAATAACTTTCGCTGACTCGACACTGTAAAAAATGATCACGTTTGATTGGCAATTTCTGAAGGCGGCGTTGTCTAGCGATGTAAATATAAGTAATACATTTTAAAAGCTGATTATATCAAAAGGTAAAATCGGCTCCAGTGTGCATCAGTCGTCTTAAATGATCACGATGGCCTCATCGCTCAACCAATTACCATCACGAGATGAAAACTCGACACGATTATGTTTATGACACCATCATTTGCATCGTGTCATATAATCTGAAATGCGCAAGACCAAGCACATTTTATTTTATTGTATTTATTTTATTGTAATATATTTTGAATGGAATACATTTTTTTTAATGACAAAAACAACAAGACCATTCCACGCTGTAAAAAAAAACAATGTATGTGATTTCGCCTAGCAAAACTCATGATCACAAAAGTTTCTCCAAGAATTTCCTCTTGCCTGCATCGATTGTCCTAAACCACAGGTGTCAAAGTCAAGGCCCGGGGGCCACATCTGGCCCGCCATATCC